CTCACCTCACCCTGGTCTCGGCCCTTCCACCCCCCGCCCCCCACTCGGAATTTGCAAAGCAAATTCCTGCCTTAAAGAGAGAGACCCGTATTCTAGAGGGGAAGGCTGCCAATCAACAGAGTTAAAATGTATGACACATCTGGTGCTAAGAAGAAAAATGAACTTGAGTAAAGAGACAGAAAGAGACACAACAAAAAATAGTACCTATCTCACAAGGTTGGTGTAAAGATTAAAGCAGATGATCCACATAGAGCGCCTAGTATAGAGGCAGGCACATGGTAAGTGCTACTCAAACACTGGCCATTAATGTGATTTCAGTGCTGGCTCAGGGGGCACACACCAGTTAGAGACTCCAGAGCTCTGCTCTCCCGGAGCTTACAGCTTGGGGCAGTGTTTCATAAACTGTGAGCTGGGACCCCTTGGTGCCAGGGTTCTTAAACTTTGTGTGCTGTGGACCCCCAGGCAGTCCAGTGAAGCCCGCAGACCCCTTCTCAAATAATAATTTTAACTGAATAAAATAAAATACCTAGGTTTACAAAAGAAACCTATTCTGTTGAAATGCAATTATCAAAATATTTTTAATACATGATACAATGATACATGTGCTTCTTAGCAAATCAAATAACAGGACCTAGCAGTGGGTCTAGTAACTACCATAATTTTGAGGTAGAGAAGCATTTATAGGCTGTTTCAAGGCATCTGAAACAGCTATAATGGGATGCAAAATAATCTATAGTGTTTGTTAGTGACAATGTCACAAATACTGCTTATGGTACTAAGATTTTTTTGCCCAAATTTCTAGCTAAAGGAAGTGCTACATTTCAGCTAGAAGTCAGTGAAAATAAAGCTATAGAGTTTTGTCCCATCCAAGTTCACAGACCCAGATTACAAATTCCTGCATTAGGGGACTTTGAAATCTATTTCATGGGTCACAACTAGCACTTTTTTGATGAAAGAATGATATAGACTAGACCAGATTCGAACAGAACATAATAGATCAGCATGCATTGCTCACAATAAAGTGAGTACAGATTCATGAAACGTTCATTTCACTGGTGTGTGTGTGTGTGTGAGATACAGGTCATGATGCAAAAATACTTCTTCCTGCAACTCATGGTCAAAAATATCTGAGAAGCAATGGCACAAGGGAAAGCAGGTCCAGCACAGCCACTGGCCCTGCCACACTGCAGGTACACACTTCCATGTCCCTCCCTCTGGGCCCTCATCCGCCTGGGTTTGGCCTCTGTCTACATTTCTGCCCACACAAGTGTACACACATGACCCAAGCTCAAAAAACACTGTGTTGTCAGTGGCTGCACAGCTCTTTCCCCCGTCCTCAGGAAGAGGAGCAGGTGTGGCAATGCCCATGTCCTGGGCTCATTGTCTGCCTGGGGACATGCCCCTCCTGATGGCCACGTGTCCCCACAGCAAATATTAGGCAAGCTCTTTGTGAAGAGCCAGCTGGCAGCATGTCTGGAGGTGCCGGGCTGCAAAGGTTTGGGGCTAATTAAACAGCCTGTGATGAGACACTCTAGAAAGCTAAGGCCGGGCAGATATTCTCGTGCTTTTCTGAAATGTGTGTGTGTTCTTCTTATTGCCCATCCTGGATATCAAAGAAGAGAGTCAGGGAGAGGTTATTGGAATCAGAAAAACAAAAGTTCTCAGGGAATCTGCTCTCGGTTTCCCAAGGGGAAGGGGGTTTGACCCTCTGCAGATGGGAAATGAGGAAACAAATGAATCGGCTGTCAGATGTGTTGGCAATTAACCCTGTGCTAATAAACAGGAAATTGCTGAAGGGGAAAGAGGGCCTTTGGGGTGAGGGGGTGGGATTTCAAGCTGCAGCTCAATCTAGTGGTTCAGAAAAGAAATGTTGGGGTCTGAAGCATCTGACTGCAAATTCTGCCTACAGTGCTTCTTTGCTGTGTGACCTAGGGCAAGTTAATTTACCTCTCTGTGCTTCATGAACTTGTAACAGCTAGTTCCCAGGGCTGTAGTGAGGATCAAGTGTGCTGTCTCTTGTAAAGTCCTTGTCACAGTCAATAAAAGTTACAGTGGCTTGTCCCTCTCTGCACCAGACTGTAAGCTCCATGCAGGCAACAACCATGTCTTATCTCTGTTCCAAGCACCAGCACAGAGCCTGGCACAGGGAAGGCACTCAGTAAAAGTTTGCTAAATGAATTCAGGCATTCATTTCACAAATATTTATTGAGCACCTTCTCCATGCCAGGTCCTAGGGAGACAAAGGTGAATGAGGTAGGCATCTGTGCTCTCATGGGGTTTGTATTCTCATAGAGGAGACAGCCAATAAACAAATAGGCAAATAAGTAAACAAAAAGATATAAACTGCTCAGCGCTATGGAGAGAATGAAACAGGTGGTGATATAGGGTGACTGGGCAGTCAGGGAAGACTGCGCAGAGGTGGTGATTGTGAGACAAGATCTGATTGACAGAAGGAGCTAGCCACCAGAAGAGCTGGGAGAGCTTTTCAGGTAGAAGGCACAGCAAGTGCAAAGGCACTGAGGTAGGAACACTCTCGGGAGGCCAGCTTGGCTGGAGAGGGATGAGTGAGGAGAAGAGTAGTGGGTAGGAGGTGGGAGAGGTCAGCAGGGGTCCATCACACAGCACCTTGTTAAGCAGGGTAACTCTGAGTACAATGGGCAGCCATTGGGAGGTTTAAGCCAGGGAACAACACAGTCTGTGCATCCAGGAGCCTCTCACATAATGAAAACAGTCCCCACTGAACCTAGAAGAATCTGCTCCTCCAAGGCAGCATCTGAGAGCTCAGCCAGGAGCAGCTCAGCCGGGAGTCGCCACCATCCATCCTTGTCTCGGCCACCTAGCAGCCCCATTAAAATAAATGAGGTCTTTGCTGACTTGATTTCCAAATGAGTCCAGCCGCTCAAGATCTTTATTCCAGGAAATGTGAAATTTATGTAATGAAAATTAAAAGAGAAACTGGGGAAGCAGCTCCTTAAGTGCCTGCTTTCTGGGTAAGTGAGCCAGGTTTGCTCATCTGGCAGGAGTTGGATGAAGGCGCCACCCAAGGGAACCTGTGACCAGCAGGGAGGCAGGGAGCATGTTGGCTGCAGGCAAGGACGAAGCCCCCAGACCTCCTTCATTTCCTCCAAAAAAGAGCCATGATAATAATAGCTCATGTTCACTGCTACCTTCCCAGCCCTGTTCTAAGCGCTTTACTTACAAGTGCTATTTCATTTGACCTTCATGACAACCAGATGGTGTAGGCACTACTATGTTCCCCATTTTATAGATGGGAAAACTGAGGCTCATGTTGGAGAAATGATGCGATCAAGGTCACACAGCAAAATAGTGGCCAAAATGGGACTCAGGTCTTTTGTCTATTATCCCCACAGACCCTCTTGTCCAGAGCTCAGACAAAGTGAAATGGAAGAAAGGCTCAGGAGGCAGGGAGATCTGGGTTCGAATCCAAGCTTCAACTACGGATCTGCTATGTGACCTCGGACAAGCTGCTTCCTTCCCTGAGTCTCAGTTCCTTTACAATCTTAGCCCCTTCACCGAGTTCATCTCTGAATTAAGGGAGATAATGTATAAAGATGCCAAGCACAGGATTTCAGATGCCTTCTCAAACCGATTTAACTTTAAAAACCAATTGTAAACTCTTAGAACTGGAAATTCTTCAGGCAATAGCTTCAGGTACAGTTGGATCCAGAGGCTCTAAAGATGCCAAGGGCTCATTTTCTTTCTCTTTTTCCATGTAGTGGACCCTCCTTCCAGGATTATATCAGATTTCTTATAGCTAGAAATCTAGGTTGAAAGAGAGCTTTTTTCCCAACAGGGCAGCAAAAGTCCTAGGATTCACTCTGATTGGACCAACTTGGGTCATATGCTCATTCCATAACCAATCTTTATAGCCAGAGGAATGGACTATGCTGACTGGGCCACCTGGGCCACATGCCTGCCCCTGGAGCTAGGGGAAGGGGTGCAGAAAGCCCTCCCCCTAGCTCCAAAGTCTGAGACATTTGGACTGTGATGGGGAGAGGCTAGGTTCCCCCCAAAAAACTGGGGTGCTGTTACCAGAAACTGTATACTGGGCCAGCAGGAATACCAGATGGTGCTCCTGGCACATAGTAGGCCATAAATAAATACATGTGCAATCGAATGAACAAATATCTACCCCCAGAGGATGGCTGTAAGGATGAAATGAAAATATGTATGCAAGTCCCTGGCACAGAGAAGCACTCAATAAATCCTGTCTTAGAGGAACAGGAGGCGCTCAGTTCGGGCTTGGATTCTGGTCATGCGCTGGTGAGCACAGGTGCTGGAAGAAACTAGAAGGAAAGGCTTCCCCTGCCTCAGCCAGGCCTCCCCCACGTTCATTGTATATACATCCCCAGGGCAGAGCAGGGCCAGGACTATGGTAAGGAGCGTGTGGCATAAATTGTAAGGGGAGACCAAAAAACTCAGTAATCAAGATAAATGATATTTTAAAAAATCAATATTGTAAAAATCCATGATATTCAAAATATTAACATTTTAATTAAAGACATATCCATATGCACACATTTACATATCACTTATATGCAAGCGTCCAGACACATGCACATATGGACATTTTCACAGACATGTTTTTTTGCTTTTTTGTTTTTTTTAACATCTTTATTGGAGTATAATTGCTTTACAGTGGTGTGTTCGTTTCTGCTTTGTAACAAAGTGAATCAGCTATACATATACACATATCCCCGTATCTCCTCCCTCTTGCGTCTCCCTCCCACCCTCCCTATCCCACCCCTCTAGGTGGTCACAAAGCACCGAGCTGATCTCCCTGTGCTATGCAGCTGCTTCCCACTAGCTATCTATTTTACATTTGGTAGTGTAGATATGTCCATGCCACTCTCTCACTTTGTCCCAGCTTACCGTTCCCCCTCCCTGTGTCCTCAAGTCCATTCTCTACGTTTGCGTCTTTATTCCTGTCCTGCCCCTAGGTTCTTCAGAAGCTTTTTTTTTTTTTTTTAGATTCCATATATATGTGTTAGCCTACGGTATTTGTTTTTCTCTTTCTGACTTTACTCTCACAGACATGTTTTTATGTTTCAATATTTACTCATAAATCTGCACAGGGCCACTGCGCGGCACAGCCCCAGGAGGTCCCATCGCATTGTAATCTGCATGGATGGCATCCCCTGCATTGTGTGGGCACAGCATCCGTGGCCAAGCACAGCCACATGTTTGTGTGAACAAACATGTACGCACATCTCCATCCATGTGTACACATCCACATCCACGGCACAACCACCCATCTACCACTAAATGTGTGCCACGTAACACCATACATGCACACGTGCCGAGAGATATAACTGCACAATATGGTTTCATACATGCTCACTTTCCTGCACCAGGGCCTTTGCACTTGCTGTTTGCTCTGTCTGGGATGTTCTTGCCCCAGATAACCACATAGCTCCCTCTCTTCCCTCCTTCAACCTGTGCTCAAAGGTCACTTTCTCAACGAGGCTCTGACACCCTAGCACTGTCTAAAAGTGCAAACCTTCACCCACAGTCCATATCCCCCCCACCATCACCTTGCTTTATTTTTTCTCCTGAACATTTAAAATCATCGGACATAGTACGTATTTTTCCTTTTTATCTTATTTAATGTCTACCTGCTAAAATGCCAGCTCTATGCAGGCAGGGATTTTTGTCTGCTTTGTTCACTGTTGTATTCCCAGCCTCTAAAACATTGCCTCACACAGATTGGGTGCTCAATAAATATTTGTTAAATGAATGAATAAAGCCAGGGAAGTGGGGATCCCTGAGAATGACTGAGACCAAATTTCCCACTACCCCAGCAGAAAGGCAATCAAAAGTCGGATGTATCAAAAGGTGATTTCTAGAACTTAGTGACAATGCAAGATACATCCTAAGTGATGTAAGAGTATTATTTCATTTAATTATCACAGCAGCTCCATAAGGTATCCATACTATTGCCCATCCCCTGTTTACATTGGAAGGAACCAAGGCACTGAGAGGTTAAATCACTTGCACAAGGTGTCACAGTGCAGAAGTAGGCAAAGCTGGGATTCAAACCCAGCACCCTGGCTCCACATAGCCCAGACTCTCCTACACACACACACACACACACACACACACACACACACACACACACAATTATATTGTGCCACCAAGTCCTTTCAGTTTTTAGGCAACTCTCAGAAAAGAAACCTCCTTCCCCCAGACTGGCTGTGTGGAGTCCCCACCCTCTGCCAGTCCCATCCCCATTGTCCTCACTGCATCCCAGCCAAATGCAAATCTGCATCCCTGGTGACAGCTGGAAGCTGTAGGCTGTCCAGTTGTCATGGCGATGGTCTCCAGCTCCTATAAACAGTCCTACCTCCTGGCTGCTGGGCTGGCTTACTCTTACCATACTTAGAAGCTGTTCCCTGGGCCTTGCTTCATACTTGACCCCTTCTGGGTGGCTGGGTGTGCCCGAAGGTCCACATGTCTATCCTGTTCCCACCGGGGAGCCACAGGAAGCTTAGAAGCAGGGCACCTGGTTCCCACCTCCCTTCCTGCCCCTTCTTTGCTACGTGACCTTAAGCTGTCGCTTCCCCTCCTGTGCCTGCTTTACAGGGTGGCCATGAAGAGTTAACGAGCTCAGTCATTCATTTAGGCAACAATTCTTATTGAGCACCTACCATGTGCCAGGCAATGGTGTAGGTACTGGGGGTACAGCAGTGACCAAGATAGACCAGGTCCTCTGGGATTCAGACAACAAAAAAGTTCTGGGAAGGAGATAATATAGCTGAATGTGTATGAGCAGAGGGATTAGGGCAGAGACTACTTAGGGTGGTCGGGGAAGGCCTCTCTCACGGGTGACTAGACTTGAGCTAGACCAGAAAAAGCAGATAGCCATGCAAATATATAGGGAAAGAGTGTTCCAGGAAGAGAGTGCAGCATGTACAAAGGCCCTGAGGCAGGGATGAACTGGACTATTTAAGGAACAGAACGCCCTTCCCTCAGAATGATGCTTATAACGCTAGGAAAGCAGCTCCAAGGTATGAACTCCCAACACTGCAGGTTGAGGGAGAGAAAGTGAACATTGACAAGGCATGCTGTTCACGGTGGCAGGATGAAGACGACCTCATAGCCAGCTGCTGCAGGTCCAGCTTCCAGCTCTTGGAGGGCAGCCCTCAGACTTGGAGTCTGAGCCTCTGCACCAGGTAAGAAGAGTAAAAGAACAGAAACAATACAACATATTCTAGATGCTTTCCATGTATTAACTAGTCTATTCTTCACATCCCTAAGGGAGAGTTTACTGTTCTCGCCACCTCCATTTTATAGATGGAAAGCTAAGGCAAAGAGCTACGTGCCCAAGGTCAATGGCTGTTGACTGGCAAAGCTGAAAACATACCTGGCTTCAAAGCCCATGACCCCAACCACCATCCCAGATGCTCCGTAAATGAGCAAACGGACTCAGTTCAAAGCCTCCAGGAGTGGTGGGGAAAGTGGTGAACTAAAGCATGTGCCCTTTGTAGAGGGTACAGTCACCCAGCTCCAGCCCATCTTTGGAGGCATGTGGGAATATAGACTCACTATGGCAAGACGTTCTAATTTTCCAAAATACATCAGATTTTTATGCGAACTTTCCAAATTTTAAAATGTGGACTGAATTGTTTATTTTATTTTATTTTATTTTCGGCCATGGCTCACAGGCCTAGCCACTCCGCGGCATGTGGGATCTTCCCGGACCGGGGCACGAACCAGTTTATTTTATTTTTTAATTAACTAATTAATTTATTTATGGCTATGTTGGGTCTTTGTTGCTGCATGTGCGGGCTTTCTCTAGTTGCGGCGAGCGGGGGTTATTCTTCGTTGCGGTGCGCGGGCTTCTCACTGCAGTGGCTTCTCTTATTGCGGAGCACGGGCTCTAGGCACGCAGGCTTCGGTAGTTGTGGCTCAGGGGCTTAGTTGCTCCATGGCATATGGGATCTTCCCGGACCAGGGCTCGAACCCATGTCCCCTGCACTGGAAGGCGAATTCTTAACCACTGTGCCACCAGGGAAGTCCCATGAATTGTTTATTTTAAATATCAAGCAGTCCAATAAAACATAGCATCACTCTAGATATCCAGGTGGGACCAGCAGGAACCAGTGCAAAATGATAACGCAGGGCCCCTTGTTCAAAAATGATTAAGAATCTCAAGACAGGGACTTCCCTGGTGGTGCAGTGGTTAAGAATCCACCTGCCAGTGCAGGGGACATGGGTTCAAGCCCTGGTCTGGGAAGATCTCACATGTCACGGAGCAACTAAGCCCGTGCACCACAACTACTGAGCCTGCACTCTAGAGCCCGTGAGCCACAACTACTGAGCCCATGCACCACAACTACTGAAGCCCGCACGCCTAGAGCCCATGCTCCGCAACAAGAGAAGCCACCACAATGAGAAGCCCGTGGACCGCAACGAAGAGTAGCCCACGCTTGCTGCAACTAGAGAAAGCCCATGCACAGCAACGAAGACCCAACACGGCCAAAAATAAATTAAAAAATATATTTTTGGGGGGGCTTCCCTGGTGGCGCAGTGGTGGGAGCCCGCCTGACAATGCAGGGGACACGGGTTCGCGCCCCGGTCCGGGAAGATCCCACATGCCTCGGAGCGGCTAGGCCCGTGAGCCATGGCCACTGAGCCTGCGCGTCCAGAGCCTGTGCTCCACAACGGGAGAGGCCACAACAGTGAGAGGCCCGTGTACCGCAAAAAAAAAATATATATATATATATTTTTTTTAATTATAAATATATATAAATATCTCAAGACAGCAACGATAGAGCAATAAGCCAAGTGCAGGGCCCTGTACAACCGGGCAAGTTGCACATCTATGAAGCCAGCCCTGCCTCTAAGGTAGGCACTTCCTAAATACTTGTTGAATCAAATGGAAGACAGGGGAAAAGGAAGGAAAACAGACATGTATTTGGCCCCTTGATATATCAGACGCAGCTTTATATAATAGCTCACACTTATCAAGCAGTCACTACGTGCCAGGCACTGTGTTAATGCATTTAAACCTCACAGCAGCACTATATTATTATTCCCGCTTTCCAGATGAGGAAATTGGGGCTTAGGGAGGTGAAGTCCTCTGGTTATCGTTAATACTTGATCAGTCGCAGGGTGAGGAAGAACAAATGGGGGGAAGGAAAAGTAAGAGAGAGAGAGAAACGCAAGAGGAAAAGAAGCCACCGCGGGCGGGCCTATCTCCCAAGCTGGGCTGCACTCAGGTCTCTGCCAAGAGCGAGTGGAATTTGGGGAGGCCGCCGCACCCCAGATCACAGTGCCATCCGCCCCAGCTTGGCTGCTCTCCAGCGATCCAATTACTAAATGCAGCCGCATTCTTTAAAAATGTCTTTCCTCTTATGTAATGCAATAGTGACAAACGCCAAACAGATGGTGCCGTGACAAGCTTTTTAAAAGTTGATCAGGAGCTCATCTTTCACAATTAATGTATGGGCATTTAAACGAGCTTCAGTCAGCCACAAAACTCCATCGAGAATCCGTACAGGACAAATCGCTCGACGATTGGCCATGCTTCACCTCCTCACCGGCCGGGGGTTGATATGACAAGTGGTCACGTTGACTTGTGAGCAACAGTCAGAAGATACCTGGTGTGGACAGAGTGAAGAAATGCCTTGGGCCTCTCAGAGTCCCAAAAGCTGGAGCCTTCCTCAATCTATTACCAAGACTTTTTTTCCCAAACTTTTATGTCGTCTTCGAGAGAGCGGACTGTCTCTCTCAGAGGGAAACGGGTTAGTCACAAACAGTGTCAGATGCTGCCAGTGAGCTATTTTCCCTACCCCCACCCCCATCCATCTTCCTCAGTGTTCAGGGATGAGATCATTTCATTTGGAGCCAATTATAGATGGAGAACGCTGGGGATGTGCAAAGAAACCTCCTTGGAGCCCTTCCCTCCCACCAACACAGGCTGTACCCTGCCGGGATGAGCAGGAACAGGAGGCTGGATGTCCGGTCCCAAGTTCAATCCCAGGGTATGTGAAGGCCACGCATTCCTAAGCCACAGAGCCTGGATCTGTCAAGCTAGGATGCTGGGCCGCTGGCTAAATGAAATCTTTTGGTCGCAGAAGTTCAGAGCTGGATGAGTCCAAGGAGATCATCACTGTACAGATGGGGAAACTGGGGCTCAGAGAGGGGAAGGGACTTACTCAAGTTCACACAGCTAGTTGGTGGCAAAGCCAGAGAGCTGGATGGTAATTCCTCCACCTCCCATGTCGTCTGGGACCTGTCCAGCCCACTTCCTGCTGCTTCTGATAGCAGCACCCTGAGTTTTCCTAGGGGAACTATCCCTTCCCCTTGGTCCATGTGGTTAAAGTAGGACTAAGCCCTCTCCTACCCCCAGGACTGACCCAGTACCAGCCAATCAGAGCCCACTGCCCTACTGGTTCAGGGATGAGCATGTACGATGAGCCAGGTCAATAAGCAGCAACCCCAGGACTTTAGCCAGAGCTACGGCCATTGGAAATGAGAAGCTCTCTTCCACTTGGCGTTACTAAACTGGTAGGAAGAAAACCTAGAGATGCTGACGGCCATCTATGCCACCACAAGATGCCCGCTAAGAAAAAAGCCAAACAGAGGAGAGCAGGGCCAAAAGATAGCGATAAGACAGCTTCAGCCTTGAAACCCCTGGATCTAGCCATACCTAGGAGATCTATCCTGAATATGTTAATTACATGTGTTATTGACATGTAATTATTGACATTAATTACATGTAATGTAATTTCCATTTTTGCTACAGTTGGTTGAGTTCTGTCCCTTGCCCCTCAAAGGTCCTTGACTTGAAGTGCTTAGGTGTGGGGCAGGGCTCCAGGAACATCACACTGTATGCTTCCCACCTCTGTCTCCAACACATTTCTGAACTCTGTGGGTTTTTTTGTATTGGCTGCATGGAGATACCTCCCCTTCCCCTAGCAGATTCCCTGACTCTGCACAAACTCCAGCTGAAACTGGGGGTAATGACTCAAATCCATTTCACCTGGCTTCACTAATCAAGGCCTTCCATGTCCTCCAAGCAGCTCGTAGCCTAAACAATAAGACGTTTGACCCAGTTGTTTTCCAGGAATTTGGAGTTGGCTGTGTCTAGTTCTAGCTGAGCCTGTTAAGATGGGACAGGACCACTGACCCTTCAACTGGGTATTAGTGAGTGTTCCTTTGGTGACTTTTTGACGTCAGAGGGTCGAAAACTCCACCCTCAGATGGCGCTAAGTGCCCTCATTTTTAACATACAGAGGCCTGTAGCTTGGTTGCACCTGTGCAGAACAACAGTGACTGCACCTTTTTCCAGTCACCTTTCCCTCCGCTCCCCATGCCTCAGACCGCCCTGCTGCTTTATTGTTTATCCCATAAATACCCTGAGCTCCTTTGGGAGGCAGATTTGAGACTTGTTCTCCTATTTCCACGAGGTTTGCAAACCTCGTATCTCAGCGTTTTGGCTTGCTGTGAGTCAGGCAAAATGAAGCTGGTTCGGTGACAAAGCAACACGCTCCAGAAGGAGTACCCCAGGTAAATGTCCCATTTCATGGTACCCGTAACCCGGTGTTTCCCACCACAGCCTCTGCCTTCCTGTTCGGTCAAGAGCACAGGCTTTGGAGCCCAGTTCGAATCCCAGCTCCAGAATTTCCTGGTAATGAGAACTCGTACTGGTCATTTGACTTTCCTAAGCCTCCGTTTTTCCTTCTGCAAATGGGAGAAAGATCATCCACCTTCCAGGGTCCTTGAGGGGATTAAAACAGGCATCACTCCTTAGGGGCTGGTTTTTCAACGGTAGCTGTGAGGGACTGCAAAAAGTTTATACTACAGAGCCGGGGCATCTCAGACACTTAGTCTGCTTGGGAAGACAGCAGCTAAACACACATAAGATAATTTCCATGTCAAACGACCTCCTGCGGCCAAAAGAAGTGTAGGGGCAGAGGCAGAGAAAACCTTCTTCTAGGGAACCTGGCCTGGATGTGAATCGGGGCAGCCCCCTCACTGGCCTCCTGACCAGTCAGCACCTCTTTCCCCTGCGTTTCCCCAGCTCCTCACAGACAGACAGACACACACAGGTGCTGCTGAAATGCTTGCCCAGTGACTCATTCACACTCCCAGAGACGGGGAACAGTCAGTGATTCCCAAGAGTGCCCGGAGTCCTGATTTAGGAAGGAGGATTGAG